GCGTGGAAGGGTGGGAGAGAAAACATTTTCCTTGGAAAATTTGTGCTGTAAAACAGCACAAAAGTGGGAAAATGGAAAATATTTTTTATGGAAAAAAAAAACCCAATCAAACACGGCCTAAAAGTATTATTACTTGAAAGCTCTATAATTTGAAATATATGATCAACTAACACGATTCAGTCCCTGTCCCGTATTATCTTAGTAAACTCGAAATGCATATTTAATAAAGAGATTGAAAAGTAAAATTCAAGAAAAGTGAGAAGATACTTGCTAAGAATTCGACAATGACAACCTTAACAAACGCCTGAGATGAATCAATCCATCTAAAAATAAATAAATGAAAGACAAGGTACAAAAAAAATATATATATATTATTCAATATTTCCCCCTCCCATGCTTTCTATTATAAAAAAAAAATGAAAATGAAGCTTAGGATTACTCTAATATCTCCTAACATAATCATGAAAAGAAATAATAACCATAGGCATGCTCATCATGCATGTGTGGGTCATGTTCATCACTACATGTAAGATAGTTGTAATTATGTAATGTACGTAACAAAAAAGTATTAAAAAACAGATATTAATTTTTTAAATTAATTGTTTAATATTATGTATCAAATATATTACGTTCATACAACGTATGTTCAATACAACAAGAAGTATTTTGTACCGAGTAGGCACTAGTTAATATGCACACTGCACTACTTATCCCGCGGTCGCTAAGTTTTAGCAAAATTTTATGTCATCGCTGACCTTTATTACAATTTAGTAAAATTAATTAGTAAAATTTCATGCCTTCTCCATTGTCAAATGTTTTTCTTCCAATCGAAGAAAAATAAATTACCCTGTTGTTTGACCCTCATTATTTCATATTATAATGAGAGGAATAATAATTTTTTGTAGAATGCATGGTTAACGAAGAATGAATTTTTTGGATATACGTGTATTATTATTTTATTGAAAAATGTGTTGTTGATAAGAAGATAGAGAAAAATGAATTATAATTTAATGGAGAATAATGGGGGCCAAACGGGACTGACAATATCATATACCAAATTGGAGGGAAAATAACTTATTTAGCCCATGTTTGAAAATTTTCATTTTCATTCTTCTACTCATTTTCAACTACACATTTTTCAATAAAATAATATTTTTCTTCACATCAATAACTTTTCCTTCTTTTTCAACCACATATTCTCCATCAATCTATTATTTCAAAATAATGTGGCTCGAATACACCCTTAGACATATTAAGAAATATTTATATTATTTTATTTAGAATAAATATGGAAAAATTGCGCCAAGACAGGGTCTAAATATAAATATTACCCATATTTGAACCACATTAAAATTTTCATTTTCATTCTTCTACTCATTTTCAACCACACATTCTTCAATAAAATAATATTTTTCTTCACATCAATAACTTTTCCTTCTTTTTCAACCACATATTCTCCATCAATCTATTATTTCAAAATAATGTGGCTCGAATACACCCTTAGACATATTAAGAAATATTTATATTATTTTATTTAGAATAAATAAGATCAAAACCATTTTTACCTAACTGACAATAAAAATGATTTCCAATTTAAATTTATATAAATGGAAAAGGGTGAACTTGTAAGTCAAATTATTAGGCATGGCCTCAAAGCTTAAAAAGTGTCACAAATAAAGCTTGAAGAGACGCTTTGTTGTTCATCTTTAACAATGCCAAAACTAAAGCTTTAATTTGATTTGCTTCTTTAAAGTTTCCACTTTTTGCCCCAGTCCACAGTCACCCTTGAAGGGGGGTAATTGAGCTTGTTAGAATGTCTTGCCGGTAAAAAAATCTCCTCTCTTTATTATGAAAACTACATCGAGGAATGAAATGTGTAATTGGTATGCTTAGACGATGGATATCAAGCTAAAAACGTTTTATAGAGACGAGGACGTATTATTTTTCTTATTTGATTTGGGATATTGTCCTTGTGCATGTAGCTTAATGGCTCAACACGATCTGCATTTCTTGTCACTTTGATTTGTTTAAAAAATGCAAGGCATGAGACTTCTTGGTCAAGCGACTGATCGATTTTCTTTAGTTTCTACAGACTTTTAGGAAGTTTCTACGAAATCAAAAAACCTAGAAAGACAGATGGGCACTGGCGGTGCAAGTCTTCGAGTCGAGTCCAACACAACTTGCCTCTTTGCACAGATCGACGTATCTTGGGGTTTGAGCTAGATGATCCCGAGCTTACACATTCTTTGCTCTACATCGTTCAAGAAAAGATAAATGTGAGTTAGTTATGGAGGGAGTGATCAAAATAATTCTTTAGTCCTTGAAACATAGAACTATCACACTTCGCTCATTTTCATCATGTCCCCCTGTATTGACTCTGTTAAAAATTACTTGTACTTGTAGTGCTTCTCTAAAAAGTTTACTTTTAAGTACATTTACTTTGAGTAAAAATATGTTAAATAAATTATCTTCTTATATGTAAAAATAAAAATAATTTACCTATCAAAGTAAGGTCAATGTTACTTTCAAAAAAGTAAATATTATTTCGAAGTTGGAAAAAAGTAAATTATCCAAATATCTATGAGACCAAAAAAATTACTATTTTTATGTTTACCCTAGCATGCTCTAAATAAATTGAACTTTAAAGTTCTTCCTAAACATATTTAGAAAGCTAGGAATGAGATGTCAATAGGATATTGGATAAATATCTCACATGCATCTCTTCATTAATATTATTTAGTTTTATCTTGTCGTCTATTGGCGAAATATCTCGAGTTTTATAATTGAAAATTATAAGAGCAAGAAGTTAATTACTTGTTAAGTGAATTAATGCTTTCATTCACAATGTATTGTATATAATTAACTAAAGAAGCGACTCAAACAATTTGAGGGCTTTAGGCAAAATCACCAATAGGGTCTTTACAAGAATAATAATAAAATATTGATGAAGCAAATGATCATTGACGAAAATTTCATTGGCGATCCCTGCTGGTATGACGATTGGTGATTCTGATTAAAATAGATGTGTTGAAGATTCAGATGGAATTATTGGCACTCACATCGGTGATTATCGTTGACACATCTTCGTCAGTGATTATCGACGATATGTCGTTAGATGGCTCTTTAGTTATCGTTGAGAAGTCGTCGTTGATCACTTACGAGAAGTCGTTAGTGGTCGTTGATGATATACCGTGTGATTCTGATTCAAATCAATATATATTGATAATCAAGATGAATTAGTGACGGTGTTACCTTTAGTGATCACCAACACATTTTTACTATTCTACTTGTGCCACTTATCTTTATTTTTCAATTCTAGCTTCTACTTGTAATTTGTTTCTTAGATTTTCCAATACTCCCCTATATTTACTCGTCTTTCTTTAGGTACTGTAATGGGGGTGGAAATTTATTGTTGTATATGCAATAAGCATTTTGAATAAGACACAACCATATGGCCCACAACAACGTCCCGAACAACAAAGAGGCTAAGACGTGCAAGAAATACAACACGATATATACCATACCACATCCCAGCAGGAGATCACAATAGGAAGGACCGCAAGAAGTGATCGTGCGACAGAAAGTATAGTTTATAGGGCTATGGATTGATTGATTGATTGATTGCAACACACATTCAACCTGTGAAGTTTATTGAATATAGAGGCTACTCAAACAATTTGGGGACTTTAAGAAATATTGCTAACCAGGCCTTTTTGGGGACAATAATTTAAAAAAATATTAATGAAGTAAATGATCACTAACGAAATTTATTGGCGATCGCGATGGTGTGACGATCGATGATTCTGATTGAAATAGATAGTTGCTGGTGATTTAGATAGAATTACATATAAAATTATCGTTAGTAATGACTGACACATCTTTGTCGACGTTACCAACGACAATATGGTTAGTGATGTTGTCGAGGATCAGCGAAGAATATTGACCTAAGGAGAGTGTCTAACTTAACTGATGTTTGATCTAACTTTGATTAAACTACAAATATAACTTTCATCATTTGATACAAACATCTATTAGATAGTGGTCAAAATTTGTATCGGTTTAAAATGTCTCAAATTATTATAATATGGTTAGTAGATTAATTATCATTAACAGAAAATGATTATGACTTGGTATCCACCAAGTAGGAGTAACCGTAGAGTTGAAGTATACGAATTCAAGATTTTGCAGGGAATTGGCAATTTATTTTAAATTTCAAAAAGGTCTACGATAAGAACAATTTATCGAAAATAATTAACTTCATATACAAAGAATTATGCTATTTGTACAATGTTTTTGTACAAAATTGTTGACAATGTTGGTTGTGGCAAAAAAACATTGGTTGAAATAATGAATTGTTTNAAAAAGTCTATTTTTAAATGTTATATTTTTTTGAAACAATTAAATGTCATTCTTGTTGTGTAACAACCAAAATATGAATATGTTCGGATCACTATTAGCAATGTTGGAAATACAAGAATTATGTATTGTTTGAATACCACTTGATGAAACCAACCACTAGAATGAATTGTTGAAATTATATGACAAATAATGAAATACTAGATCAAGTAAAAGAAAAATAAAAACAAGGGATATTGTAGAGGAATTAAGAGATTTTATTGACTCAAGAATAATTAAGAATGGAGAAAATTACAATGGATCCTATAATTCTAGTAATATATTTAATCACACTTATAAAATTGTATAGAAGAGCCTAATATTTATAGGGAACATGTAGGGAACGTCCAAACCCTTTAGTAGAGTTGTTGATGAAGTAAGATGCCAAAAAACAGAGTCCAAAACGAAAAAGAAGAGAAAATTGCGGAAAATCGGAAACGTGAGGTGGGCGCCGATCCTTGTTACTCCAGAACCACCAACTCCTCCTCACTGCAACATTCTTTAACTCTCGATCCTTGTTAGAATCTCATTACTCCTCCCCACCACGGCTTCAGCCCCCCCGACTTGACCTCCAAGCTTCTTGAAATGGATCTATTACTTTTTTTGTAATCTAGTACATGCTAACAAAGATGGAGTTTTTAAAATTTGCACAAAACGCTGCACAAAGCCACAAACTCTATAGATATTTGTCTCCAAGGAAAACTAATTATTTATCACGTTGTTCCTAAGATAGCATTAGCCCATATAACGAAATGTTAGACGAACAAAAGTCATATCTAGCAGGAGAAAATGTTAGGGTGTATCACGGTGTTCCTAGGATAGCATTAGCCCATATAACGAAATGTTAGACGAACAATAGTCATGGCTAGCAGGTGACAATGTTAGGGTGCCTCGTATACTTTAAGGATTGCCAGATTTAAGCTATAGAGTGCAAAATAAATTTACTGAGTACTCCATATTTTGGGAGTAATAGAATTTCTCCTAAAAATAAAAATAACCTTCTAGTTCGATCAGTTAATTAAGGGCTTCGTTAAATTTTCCCTAGTAAGGCCGACTATGGCCACAATACAATATAAGGTAACATGGAACTACAAACATTAGTCAAATTGATATGTATATCGACTATTTTTTAGGGATTTGTTTGCCGAGGTGGCCATGTCCGACTCATTTAATTGCACAAGGAAGCCTCAAGAAATCTTTAAAAAAGAAAAAGAGGAACAAATTATTCAAAGAATAAGAGGCATGGATAGAGGGATATGGTATCACTTTCTTGGATCCTGCAAAAACATTGCCTCTTGTGCCCAAATGTATCAAATTGCTGGGCCAAAGATAAAAGGAAACAAGGAATGATGAAAAAGTGAAGGGGGGAAAAAAAGAAAGAGGAAAAGAAATCCCAAGAAAACTAAAAGTATAGGTAGAGAATAGACAAAGTTAAACACTTAATAGATAGAAATGAAGAACAGTTTCCTCTCTCTCTCTCTCTGAAGAACAGTTCCCTCTCCCTCTCCCTCTCCCTCTCCCTCTCTATGTATATAAGTGTATTTCTTTCTCTCTCTTCACACCAAACAAAGCCCACTTGAGAAACTAATGATCATGAAAAACACCCTCTGCGCCCTACACTCAAGAAAAGCAAATCTTGCCTTCAAAACCTTCCATGCCATAAATTTACTTGTCTTAGGACAACACAAATTCTACTCCTACACTTTCACTACAGCCTCAAAACAATGAATTTTGCTTCGCATCTTCTCACAATAACATTCTTAATCCTTGTTAGAATCTCATTGCTCCTCCCCACCACCGTTGCTGCTACAGCTGCCTCGACTCGACCACTAGAGCTCATATCACTTGTATCGATAAAATCATCCCTCAAAGACCCTCTAAACACATTCAAGGATTGGGACCTCACAAATGGATTCTCCAGGCCTGGATTCACGCCAATCTGGTGCTCCTGGAGTGGCATTAAATGTGACGCGAAGAGCAAACAAATCACGATTTTAGACCTGTCAACACGCAATCTTTCAGGCACAATCCCAAGTGATATAAAATTCTTGTTGAATTTACAACACTTGAATTTGAGTGGAAATGCGTTTGGTGGGTTACTACAATCTGCCATTTTTGAATTACCAAATCTCAAAATACTTGACATTAGTCACAACTTGTTCAATTCGAGTTTTCCGCCTGGAATTTCAAGACTCAAATTTCTAACCTTCTTAAATGCCTACAGCAACAGCTTCACCAGTCCTCTGCCGGAAGAACTCATTCACCTCCCAAATCTCGAGTACCTAAACCTCGGTGGAAGCTACTTCAATGGCACAATCCCCATCAGCTATGGCCATTTTCGAAAACTGAAGTCTTTATACTTGAATGGAAATTCACTGACAGGTCAAATTCCTGCTGAATTAGGCTCCCTGGATCAGCTTCAACATATGGAATTGGGATATAATGTGTACTCTGGTGGACTTCCGGTGGAGTTATCAAGTCTACCGAACTTACTCTATCTCGATATCTCATCAGCCAATCTCTCCGGGGAACTTCCAGTAGAGTTGGGAAACTTGAAGAAGCTGGAAGCATTGTTGCTATTCAAGAATCATTTTACGGGTAAAATTCCAGGAAGTTTAGTACAACTGAAATCTTTACAGGCTCTTGATTTGTCCGATAACAATCTGACAGGGAATATCCCGAGCGAATTCTCAGCATTGAAAGAACTAAAAACATTGTCCTTGATGAACAACCGGCTGACGGGTGAAATTCCAGGAGGAATTGGAGAACTCCCCAACCTGGCATTCTTATCTCTCTGGAATAATTCACTTTCAGGAATTTTACCACAAAATTTAGGCTCCAATGCCAAGTTACAATTGCTTGATGTCTCTTCGAATTCCCTGTGGGGACGAATTCCATCAAATCTTTGCCTCAGCAGGAAACTGCTTAAACTCATTCTCTTCTCGAATGAATTCACTGGTGAGATCCCTTCGTCCCTGGCAAATTGCACGGCCTTGTCAAGATTCCGGATTCAAGACAACAATCTCAATGGGTCGATACCATTTGGGTTAGGCTTCTTGCCCAACCTCACATTCGCTGACATCAGCAAGAATAATTTTTCTGGTCCAATTCCGAAGGATTTAGGCAATGCCGCTAAGTTGGAGTTCTTGAACATATCCGGAAATTCATTCAACACTGAATTGCCTGATAATATTTGGAGTGCACCAAGTTTACAAATTTTCGTTGCCAGTTTTGCTAGCCTGAAAGGAAAAATCCCTGATTTCATTGGATGTCAAAACTTTTACAGAATCGAACTAGATGGGAACAACCTTAGCGGGAGCATTCCGTGGAACATTGGCCATTGTGAAAAGCTCATCAGATTGAATTTACATCGAAATTCACTGACAGGAATCATTCCATGGGAGATTTCTACTCTTCCTTTCATTACAGATGTCGATTTATCCTATAATTTTATCACTGGAACTATCCCGTCTAATTTTAAGAATTGCAGGACATTGGAGGATTTTAATGTATCATATAATCAGCTCACAGGTCCAATACCTTCTTCAGGCTCAGTATTTTCAAGCCTTCATCCGTCATCATTTACTGGAAATGATGGGCTATGCGGTGGAGTTCTTAAAAAGCCCTGCTGGGCAGATGGACTGGCGGCCGGTGCAGTGGCAGTCCCTCCGCCGCCCAAGAAGACTGCAGGGGCAATTCTCTGGATCATAGCTGCAGCATTTGGCATTGGATTATTTGTACTAGTCATCGGCATCAGGTGTTTCCAGGCGAAATACAGCCGCAGATTTTCTGATGATAAAGATTTCGGGCCCTGGGAATTAACTGCATTTCAAAGATTGAATTTCACTGTTGATGATGTGTTGGAGTGCCTAACAACCACTGATAAAATCCTCGGAAGGGGGTCCACCGGGACGGTGTACAAGGCCGAAATGCCAGGTGGCGAGATCATAGCGGTCAAGAAACTATGGGGGAAACACAAAGAGACAATCAGAAAGAGGAGGGGAGTTTTAGCAGAAGTTGAAGTTTTAGGCAATGTAAGACATAGGAACATCGTTAGACTGTTGGGATGTTGCAGTAACAATAAATGTACAATGTTGCTCTATGAGTACATGCCTAATGGAAGTTTGGATGATTTATTGCATGGCAAAGTCAAGGGCGATGATCATAATTTGATGGCTGATTGGCTCACTAGATATAAGATTGCAGTCGGGGTGGCACAGGGTATCAGTTATCTTCATCATGATTGTCATCCAGTTATCGTCCATCGTGATTTGAAGCCTAGTAATATACTTTTAGACAATGAGATGGAGGCTCGGGTGGCTGATTTCGGAGTGGCTAAGCTGATGCAAAGCGACGAATTGATGTCGGTGATTGCTGGATCATATGGCTACATTGCTCCAGGTACGATTTACATGTTGAATAATTGATAAATTAAAACTTGTCTGATAATTGAAATGCGTTTAATTCCAACATTACGTGCTTCACTATTTTAGATAAAAACTCGAAATTAAATTATCCCCAACAATATTTATTTTTTGCCTATTGGTTTTCTTATCTTAATTTGTTATTTATTTCATGCTTTTTTGTTGGATGGTTCATGTGTTTTATTGTTGGATTAACCATGATGTTTTGTCATGTTGGTTTTGAGTTGGTTGTGTCGAGTGACGAAATGCTTGCTTATTGTGGTGTCATGTCCCATGTGATGCATATAGTGTCTTTTGAGGTTTGTCTTTTAGCCTTTTTTTTTAAAAAAAAAAACTAATTCAACTAGTTGGGTACTCAGACGTATTCCAAATAATCTTGTCTAATATGTCGCACTAAATATGTGATGTAAGTTTAAAATTTAGCATTTTATTTTGCAGAATATGCTTACACACTACAAGTCGATGAAAAGAGTGATATTTACAGTTATGGAGTGGTGCTATTGGAAATTTTGACTGGAAAACGATCAATCCAAGCAGAATTTGGTGATGGAAATAGCATTGTCGATTGGGTAAAATCTAAAATCAAGACCAAAAATGGTGTAGACGACGTGCTAGATAAATATGTTGGAGCATCTTGTACTTATGTAAGGGAAGAAATGCTATTATTGCTTAGGGTTGCATTGCTTTGCACAAGCTGGAATCCGGCTGACCGACCATCCATGAGGGATGTTGTATCGATGTTGCAAGAGGCCAAACCCAAGAGGAAATTACCAGGAGGTGGCGCTGATGGTGTTGGTGATACTGTGATTGATGTCAAGAATGTCCTCGAGGTACAAAAGCCAATATAATGAAAGATTAACGTATATGAGTTTCGTGGCCTTGGTTGTTTTTTTTTTTTTTTTTCGAGAAAATTTAAATTGTGGGGGTTGGTATAGAAGAAGTGACTTTCCTTTCATATTATTATTAATTTGAGTATTGGAAGTGTGCTCTATGGTTCTTTGCACTAATTGTGTTTGCAAATTTCATTAGTAATCAAGCATGATATTTAATTTGCCCAAGAAAACTGAAATTGATGTTCACAACCATTCATGCATGTATGATGTATTGATTTATTTAGTATTCAAAATTTTGCAAAAAAAAAAAAAAAACCCAACAATTTATAATAAGATAAATGTTCTATTTATAACAATTTAAGATTCAAAATAAGAAAATTCAATATGGTATCAAAATATTAAATATTAATTAAAATCACAGTATCAGCTATACATAAAAATGTTAGTCGACCAGGCATGTCAGTGTTTTTTAAAAATAACTTCCGCTTGCATGCAATAGCAAGTCGTAGACAAAATAAATTGCCTAACAAGTATGTGTAACGGTTCATGTTTGTCGACGCTAAATAATTTATCTCTTAAATTAACACTCACATTTCTATAGGGTTTCTTTGTAAATTTTGCGAGTTCGATATTACTACTAACATGGTAGAAGGAGCATGTAAAAAATATACACAAGCATAAAAGCAGCTAGACCATTATTCATTTTGTAGGCAAAGTAATTGAGTAATGTTATTCATCCCCAGTTGGGATGAAAACACGGTTTAGGTGACTTTAAATGATAGGTTAACTGAAATGCGAAATTAAATTACTTATTTAATTTCACATATCATTTAATGTCATATTAACGCCACGTAGACTGTGTTTCCATCCCCAGTGGAGATGAATAGCATTACTCAAAGTAATTTTCAACTTCAACAAATATATGTGTAATAATTCAATTCATAAGATCACATATGTGTATAAAGTATTAACATATAATCTGCCACAACCAAATTTGCCACATGTATGATTTATGGTTAGTAATTTTTTTGTATTAAAACTGGATTGGTAATTGAAACATGTAAAATTCAAATTACTCATTTATTTTAGATATAAAAAAAAAATCAAAATCAAATTATCCCCTCGTTATTGTTTTTCTTGTCTACTGGTTTTCTTATCTTAATTTGTCCTTTATTTCTTACTTTATGGTGATGGTTCATGTTTTTATTGTTGGGTTAACCATGATGTTTTGTCATGTTGGTTTTATGTTAGTTGTGTTGGGTGACGAAATGAGTGCCCATGTACCATGTGATGCATGGTGTCTCATCTTCTAGTTTTTTCTTTAACTAATTCAATTTGGTGATTTAATCTTAAGCGATAATAAATTACTGTTGTTTAACATATCGTACTAAATGCTTCTTGAGTCGAAGATTAAGTGGGCTTATAATTCAACTCGAACACAATCTCTTATGGAATAATGTTATTTGTCATCACTCATAAAGTTAAATTAAATGCACGACATATGGCCTATGTTATTTGTCGATAATTTAGTTGTACATTAAATTAAGCAACTTGGATCACAGCCAATCCCATTCTTTTTTACGTGTTTCGCCGCGACTTGCCACTATTTTAGTGTGTTACCGGCCACTATTGCGCGTGAAGGGCTCTAATCCTTTTAACTTTCATCTTTATCTTATATTTTGGACCCACGAAGATTTTTTTTTCCATTAGTCCAACGGTGATTAATGACTTTGATTTTGTGACAATTTCTGATTTGGGAAAATTTTAGTATTTCTTTATTTCACAGAATATGCGTGCGCACATTATAGGTTGATGAAAAGAGCGATATTTACAGTTGTCGGTGATGTTGATGGAAATTGTGACAGGAAAACAATTGATTGGGCAGAAATTGGCGATGGAATACCCAGTCGAATACCTAGCTTTGTGACGTCTATGCTACGGAAGAGATGCTATTATAGCTTAAGGTTGCATTGCTTTGCATTAGCCGAGATTCGGCCGATTGGCCATCCACGAGGGATGTCAAGAGGAAATTAGCTGAAGGTGGCGTTGATGGCAATGGCGATATTGTGATTGATGTCAAAAATATCCGAGGCACAAAAGCCAGCCAAGTGAAAAATTAGTTGTTTGATGTATTAATCTATTCAGTCTTCAAAAGGTTTCGAACTATCAGCAAAATTCAAATAGATAAACGCTATCTTGATAACAGTCCAAGTTTAGTTGTAAAAAAGCTGCACGATGATCTAATCCTCACCTTGTTTTTCTGCTTGTGCAATATGCCGCTCATGTATTGGTGATGGTCCGTTTAGATTGATGGATAATGATTTTATTTCTTTTTTTTGCATGAGCATCTTCTTCTTCTTTAGTTGGCTCAGTCGGTATATACTAACCGTAATAGTACCATTTGGGCCTTGGAAGTTGGAAATGACAACTTGCTCGGGTCAATTCAGGGGCGGACGCAGACCTTAAAAGTTAGGGGAACACAATCGAATTTGAAAAGAAGTTGAGAGAAATTTTACAATCGAAAATTTACGTCCAAAAAAATCATACCCATGTAATTTTACATCTGAAAATTTACATGGGATATGATTTTTTCGAATGTAAAATTTTGAAAATTTTTGATGTCATATTCCATATAAAATTTCGTAATAAAATGACGAAAATTATATTGAGAAATTTGTATCGCAAAAATAATAAATGTTAATGAAATAATTGAATTTTTTTTAAAAATGAGAGTTAAACATCTTTTTTTAAAACTCACGTTTAACGTATTTTTAACTATTTTCGATATCTATTTGGACTGTTCAATATACCCATAATGTAGTTCTCGAAATAAGTTTTGAGATGACATAAGCAATTTGTAGATTCGACTAGCGTATGATCGTCGAAGAATTTTTAAAGTTAGCATATTATCGAAATTTTTGAAATATTAATTTTGAACAACTTTGACAAGTCATAGCATTTGCTACGATTGATCGTTTCGTACGCTATTAACAACGTAGAAAACTAGACCGTGAACACTTCGAAATTGTATTAAGAATGCAATATTTTGCCCTTGTTTAATGGAGAGTTAAGATTTTGTTAAAAGGCGAAAGAAAATGAGAAAAATTAAAATTTATTGTGATTTGACACTATTTGATGGAGATTAAAATCAAATTTTTATTAAATTTTGATAAAAGTTAAATAGTTATGGATTCCATGAAATATGTTATTAAAATTAATTGTTAACTTTGATTTAGATTAAAACTTAGATTTCAATCGATACCTTCGAAATTCAAATTTATTGTGATTTTGCCCCTATTTGGTGGAGATTAAAATCAATTTTTTAGTAAATTTTGATAAAAGTTAAACAGTTATGGATTCCATGAAATATGTTATTAAAATTAATTGTTAATTTTGATTTAGATTAAAATTTAGATTTCCATCGATACCAAACACGATTTTATTAAAAAAAAAAAAATCTCAAAAATTGGGGGCACTTGCCCCGGACCCCCCTAGGTCCGCCCATGGGTCAATTTGATTTTAAACAATTTAATTTCTACAACCCCATATTAAGTTTGAGGTGGAATGTTGAAATATGAAAATACTATAAGATAATGTTCTCGATAATATTTTTCCAATTGTATGTAAATATTTTCGTTAATATTTGATTGTGTGATTATAAAACAATCTTTTTCTTTTGAGTTATTTGTAAGCCCGTAAATTGAAGCCTTCTATTTTATAGTAGTTTGACAAATTTATTACATACAATTTATAATTTTAACAACGTATGGTTTTTAGATTTTGCTTCGTTTTGTTCATACTAGGTTTCGCATCTAGCATATTGCTTCCAGAGAATGTGTTCTTGTCTATTGAATATAGAAAAATCAACCGAAGAAAGAACGAATCTTCACATTTCCTTCTCTAAAAACCATTGGCAAAGCAATAAGGTCACACTTAGCATGTCACATGGGGCACTAAAACGTAATGAACGAGATTCTACCCTCATTTTCTACCTTAAACACTTGAGTGTCATACATGACGCTTGATCTCTTAGAAGTAGTTTGTGATTCTATTTGCTTCTTGATTTTTACTTTATTTTGAGATTATTAATTTTGAAATAGTTTAAGTTGAATCCACACTTGATTGCTAATCAAATCTCATCGTCCCATAGATGTTGGATGGTCTTGTATGGACTTGTTGTCGAATTAACAAGAAATTCTCCTTTCATTATCTTCTCTTGCTGCACCTTCTCAATTTCAAGTAAATCATAGTCGTCCAATTTGAGATCAAGGGCACCCATGTTCTCCTTCAACCTATCTTCATTGAAGCTCTTCACTATTACACTAGCTCCTTTGGACAATCCCCAATTTAGAGCAACCTTAAAGTTCAAGAAAACAATGTTAGAAGCGTTTATCTCAATAAGAAATAGTGCATCTCGAGGTGTGAAGTGAGAGAGAAGAATGACACAATTAGAGTTTTGAATAAGACAACCTTTTAACTTTTGATTTGTTTTTTTTTACCCAAAAATCTAACAAGAACAAGAGATTCTAAGCTTTTTATATAGTCAAACAACTCTTTCGACCCGAACTTTCACGACAATATTTAGTCAAACAACTCATGAAACTATACACTACATATTTTCATATGCACATATAACACATGCTCGAATTGAAGTTAGAGTTGGAAATATATGGCATACTCGAAATTTTAGCTTTCATGGCTTCGTTGAAAAATATAACAAGAACAAGAGGTGCTAAACTTTTTATATAGTCAAACAACTTGTTTGACCCGAAATTCCATGATAATTCATACACACGTCTAACACAAGCTCGAATCGAAGTTCGAATTGGAAATATGGATATACTTGAGCCATTAGCTTTGATGGCTTACCTGTGCTGGAGTGGATCTATGTTTAAGAGCAATTGATTGTATAATTGGGTTATTCACAACAGCAGTTGAGCCCCATGCGTTTCCAGGTCCCCCAAGTGGTGAATATGCACTAACATGAATTCTGTAATCCCCACAAAAATCCCTTAGCTTTTTTTGCCTCCACATTGGATGCATTTCCACCTGCAGTACAATTTTACTTCTGTTATTTATTTATTTATTATCCTTTGTATTAGTGAGGGGAGGTGGGTTAATGAGAGACTAGAGATGACAACAGCAGGGCACCCTCGGAAGTAAAAAGAATCGCGACTCGCCTCACAAGTTTGACTTGGCCCACCTATTTTGACACCACTATGATATTTACGAATTATATTGTTACGCTATTTTGCGTACCACTAAAATTAAAGAGAGAAAATACCTGATTGATAGCAGGTGGAACAGAGGCAAAATCCAAGAGGGTTTCAATCTTCGTGGAAGAGAAATTGCTGACACCAATAGACCTACACAAGCCCATTTCCAGGCATTTCTCCATCCCAAACCATGTCTTTTCCATGTCCAGTACTTTCTCAAAATCTTCTTCTTTAGGCACTGGATAACATACCCATGGCTTCAATTTTACTGGCCAATGCACCAAGTACATATCCACATATTCCATCCCAAGCTTCCTGCATGTATCAGAATTATCAGGCTAGACTTTTTTCATCTAAGGCTTGATATCGAACAATTTTCACAAATGTGACAGCGAGACTTGAAAACGGGATTTTTATTTTTTCTAATATCACGTTGAATCACCCCCATTTAAAAATTTAAATGGTTAGAGAAGGGACAATTCTTTTTATTTAAATTATGTTTGAAAATACTTACTGCAGAGATTGCTTGAGTGCTGAAACAGGATCATTGTGATCACTTCCCCACAGTTTAGATGTAACAAAAATGTCTTCTCTTTCAACAACTCCATCAATAATTGCTTCCCTTAATGCATTCCCCAAGGCTGGCTCAGATCCATATATTTTCGCAGTGTCAAAATGCCTATACCCTATCTGTTCATACATACATACAACATCAGACTTACACAGTCTATTTCTATGCAAAAATACACCACTAAAAAATCATAAGAAAACGCATGTTAATGCTATATAAACCATGTTGTGTGACATGTTTGATAAGGTAAGTTGGACAAGACGAAGAAAAAGAAGCTAAAATCAGATACCAAACACGCCTAAGCAAATGGCATAACATATTGAGTATGCAAGGTTCATACCTTGAGAGCCATATGTACAGCATTCTCAGTAGTTTTTCTATCATTTTCCATAGAATAAGTACCCATGCCAATTACAGGTATGGTTATGCCATTGTTCAATCTCACTTGATTGCTTCTCATTTCTGCACCCTCTCTCTCTCCCCCTTTCTTTTCTCTGTTTGTATACACAATGCATGAGACAAATCCAAAAGCTGGTTTATATAGTGTTACTCTTACATAAAAGTCAACCTTAAACTAATCTAATAACTGATCCTTACAACATTTTTCAGCAACAAAAATCCTTATAAATCAGATTACAATCTATAAACAAATCAATATAAAAAATATACAAACTGAGGTTTACATATCAAGGTATAGGGATCTTCCATGTCTAGTGATTTTTAAAATGTTATTATTTATTTAATAAAAAAAGGAATCTATTACAGGTGTTCTTTTCTTTAAGTAGGAGGTACTCTTCTTCTTAAATTTTGAGCTTAACTGGTTTTGTAAAAATAAAAGTGCGGAGCGATAGATTTGAGCTATACCATAAGTCGACCTATTAAAAGATATTTACTTTCAAAAGAATTTCTAGGAAACTTTCGAATATTGGAACGTTAACAAGATTTCTTGTAAAGTATTTCAAACATAAATAAATTGAAATAAAAAGTCAAATAACATTAATGTTTTCGAAAATAAAAGTATTTCATTTACAATGTCCCTAAGAAATATATTGATATTAATGGCAGAATTTGTTTGTAAAGGGTGTGTGTTGGCGTCGCGTGGAGGGCACTTGAAATGGCCAATGGCATAGGAGTCAAACCCAATATTTTGTTTGGGTACAGCACGGACGTTGATCTGCCAATAATACAAGAAATATATTGAGGAAAGTCAAACAGTTGACTTTAGTTTGAAAGACTTTTGAGTTTTGACTTTTGAGCAGTGTTCTAAAATGAGCGTCAAGACGGCATGAAGCTCGGCAGAAACGTTAAGCCAAATGGCTTGACGTCTTATTTAGCGGTCAACGATTGCCGCTAACCGATAATGCACGCCTAGGTGAGCATTATTATCTTTTTTAAATTTTAAAAATTCTTTTGAGTTAAAACTTAAAGGTTGATTTACATTTGAAACTTTATCTTTTTTTTGAAAACTTTTGAAAAATGTATAAAGTTTCTATAAATTTGTTTTAGATGTTTGATAGGTATTGTTTTTAATTATTAAATGATTTTTTGATTGATTAAAAATTAAAATAAGAAAACGTCTTTTTACGCCTATGCTTTGTCTAGCCTGTAGTTTGGCATCCGCGCATTACGCCTTTTAAAATACTGCTTTTGAGAAGTTAAAATGATTTTTTGAGATCTAAAAGCTACATTTGAATCCATTTGGTTAATTTTATGAAAGTAATTCTTCTAATTAGAAAAACTTTTAATGGAAAGTGGTACAATATGACTTATTTATAAACACCTCTGAAATAGAAATCTTTTCTAGAAATTAGTTTTTTTTTAAAAAAAAANAAATTAGTTTTTTTTAAAAAAAAAAATTAAGGTAATTTCCTCAGAAAACTCATCTACAAGAAACAAAAGCAAAATTCATGCCAAACGAACTTTAATGAAATTGAAAGGATGTTTGTATGTAATATACCGATTGTATATATTTTGGAGTCAACATTTGATTAGATGAATCGTAATATGTTGAGAATAGCAAAAAGGAAAATTAAAAATGTGTAGACGATAATGTATACATGGTTATGATCAAGATGAAAAATATATGGTATGAAGTTTGTTAATTGACATGTTAAGTTTAATGTACTAAACATCGTGTTATAATCATGTTAAGTTTACCATTTAAATTATTTGAATAATAAGATCTAAATCACTTAAGAATTATTAAAGAAATGATTATTCCAAACTCTCTCTCCTCTCTCAAACAAGAACAACACATAGGGAGATGAATTTAGAGGTGGGCTGATTGCAAGAAAATTTCCTTCAGTTATTAATTAGCCAAGCTCTAGATACTAACCATTAAATATATTGTTTGACATGAAAGGAAAGTCAAATAGTTGACTTTCATTTTGTAAGAAACAAAGTTGAAAGGTTATCCTTGTAATTTATCATGGGACAACTAGCTAATTAGACGCAATCCATACACTGATAAGGGATGTATGGATTCTCGAGAAGAGAGAAGCGGTGGTGGTCCCCCTGACCGCTCATACGGCGGGAGTCATTGGTTCAAATCCAATAGTAGGTAGAACTTATTAGATACCAGAGTGAATGGTACCCAATAAGTTTTTCGACTCAGAGAATCGTGACTTAATTTGGATTGAAAATCGATTTCTATTCAACTAATGATTTCAAAATAGAGATGCATCTTCTTTGCATGTATTACGATTCTTTCTTCATGAGTATTGTAATTGGAATAGGTTCCCACGATGGCATCAAAGTTTCACGTAAAATTGTACACTCTTAGAACAAAATCAAATGTCTCATAATCCAAATTGTACTACTTAACAAAAATGTTCTTAAAGGTGTTAAGTAATTAATAAGATGAAGTAGATCTTTACTCAAATCGATAAGACGATCTACTTGATCAAATTAACGGTAAGATTTAAAATATTTAAATCGCTTAATATTCTTAACGAAATAACGATTATCCCAAACTCTCTCCTCTTCTCCCTCTCTAACAAGCACAAACTAAGGGAGATGAATTTAAAGGTGGACTAATCACTGGAAGAATAATGAATTTTTTTCTTCAATTATTTTTAAGTCAAGCTCTAGAGACCAATGAACATTCTAATATATTGTTTGACGTGAAAAGATAGTCAAATGGTTGACTTTTATTTTGTAAGAAAAACTGAAAGGCTGTCCTTGTAACATGCAGACCACATTGTCAGTTTTTTTTTTGGGCCTAAACGGTTATGGTTCAATTAATAAATAATATTCAAAAAAATTTTTTTTATAATTTAATACTAAGCAAAAGATATGAGATACAAAGTGCTATTATATTCAAAAATATTTTTTTTATAATTTAATACTAAGCAAAAAATATGAGATACAAAGTGCGATGAATTGGATCTTTCACATAGTTGATGTGATGGTCTTCTTCGTTAATTCAGCAATACCATACATAGCCTAGCCACTCAAAATTTAAAAAAGAAATGTCGTTATAAAATTTGTTAGTTATCATATTCAGTTCTGTTTAATTCAATAGAGACTTTAACAGTATAGGTGAAATAAAATAGTTTAGTAACATACATTTAAGATTGTTGGCGTTCGACCTCCGAGGTCATTAAATACAGTTGGTTATATGCATTAAGCTCATACTAATATGAGTTCGGATATATGAGGTCAGCTCGGTTTATGTAGTTTATCGAGGCTTAAGAAGACATAATGATTAAAAGTTTCTTACACGTTATACAAACCCTCAATTAACGGGTGACATATGGAAGGCCTTACATCAGAATCCGCCAAGTCTACCAATCATATGCTTTAGCTTCCTCCCCTAAGTAATTCATTAATATTTGGAGACCACCTGTAAGGTTAAATTCACGATGACCTGACAAGCCGAGCTCGTTAACCAATCCAAACATGTCAATAGTGTGTTTTCTCAACTCGGTATTGTAGCTGATTAGACAAGTAAATGATGAATGCATGTTAACCCTTCCTATAAAAGAAAGAATGGGAGCCTTAGAGAAGGAGGGGAAGAAAAATGTTCAAAACACTTCATACTTCAAATATTTTCTTGAGGAAAAAGAGTAAACACTTGTAGTTATAATTATAATTTGCAAGTCGTTATCAATAAAACTCTTATTTCTATTTTAAGTTGGCTTGAATCTTGTTCATACAATTTTCGACGTTAACATTTCTCCCATTAAATTTTAAGTCGTATAAGACACTTATAAATACCACAAACAATTATGTCATTTTCCTAGTAAGATAGTTATCTTTGCAAAGGGGAGTAATCATCTTGTCGTAGTCTATTCTTTGAGACATGCTATGTACCCATTTACCACACAAATATAACCGTGTACATGCATATATCAATACTTCTATTTTTCTTTTATCACAAGAATTCCAAAAAGGGCCAAAAAAAAAAACCCCCCCGTATTTTTTAGTGGAGTTTTGATCACTTATATTTCATATTGATTATGACCAACAACTTAATACGATTGTTGTATATTAAAGAAGAGAGACCATAAGATTTCAAATGAACCTAAACGTCAATTTTTGTTTACGTAATTAAAGAAATTACGACTATTTTTCTAATACTTGAGTATATAATTTTATTGTTTCCCAATTCTACCAAGGGAGATGAATGCAGAAGTGGACGGTCTAATCATCGGAAGATTAGATGATTTTTTTCTTTAATTATTAATTAATCACTTCACGATCCTTATTAACTAACCATATGAAGTTTGTCAACAATAAGCCATTTTTAAATCACATATTAAGTTGACTTTATTAGCAAAAATCAACAATTTGGTTAGGCAAAAGTAAAGGTAGGGTGCACCATATATATATCTAGATATTTTTCAAACAATACTCAACTTTTGGGCATTGGAAGGGTCAAATACACCCCCCCCCCACCCCCCACCCCACACACACACACACTCCCATAAACCATACCCCAAATTAATTATTTTTAAACTACGATAATAAGATGTAAGTCAACCATAATGATCCATCTAATTACGTTTACATAATTTAAGAGAGATGAATTAGTAGTTCAACAAAACAAATCAAATCAAGGGCTTGTTTGAAAAAGATTTTCTCCCGACAAAAAAATTTACAAATTCACTTTTTACTCTACGTGATTTATTGCCTTGTGCACGGGAAAAAAAAAATACCAATCAAGGTTCTACTGTCGGTCAAAAGATTAAATAAATAAAATATTTCTTTATTAAGAAATGAACGTTGAAATCGATAAAAGTCAGCTCGCCAAATTTTCATGTGAATGTCAATTTTGAAATTATTTTGACACGTTTCAAGATTTACGGTTTTTAACATGTAAATGGATTGACTTCTCCGATCAAACTATTTGTCTAATCCGATTCTTGTAATATTAATGCATGTGTTAGTTCCGATCGATTCTTCCCGCTTTCAATGTGTTATACGTGAAATAGTTTTCAAAAATCATATATTCTCTCT